CAGGAGCAGACTTTCTGGGCCCGAGGGTGTGATGGGGGAAGAGAAGAGCGACACAACTTTTGTGTCGCCCCCCCCCTCCCCCCCACCGCTTGCTGGCTTGTCTAAATCCTCACAGCAACCCTAATCCTCCCTGTCTAATGGAGCCCGAGCCGGCTCACGCTCTGAGGGTCAGCCTGTTAATCCCTGTGCTGGGAGCACACCACCTGTTTCAGGAGGCTTTTTACTCTCTTGGCATTAGAGAGCACAGTCCAGGGCCCCAGACAGCGATGACAGTCACGGCATCTTTTTGGCCAAGGCCCAGTGATGAGCTGAACATTCAGAGAGAGCCTCACATGGTGTGAGTGACACTCACAGTTCGAATCCCTGTTTCAGGCCACAGAGCCAGAAAGACCTGACAAGAACAATTCCTTAGGGTTCCATCAGCAAACACAGAGTGGGGTGGGGGGGCTCAGGGGCTGGGAGCTGCAGCTAACTGCTCCTTTCCCCCATCGAAGGTGGTGTGGGCTGAAAGTTCCACAGCAAGTTGGGTGCAAACCCTGACACCGACAGGTGCCTTCATGTGACCTCAGCCTAGTCACTTAACTTCTTGAGACCCCTATTTCCCCATCTACAAAATGGGGATCACAGTAAAATTGTCGTCTTTGTAAGTTTTTTCAGCAAGTGTCTAAAGCAGTCTTCACTATTATTAGAGTCTGCTTTCTGGTGGGCCCTTCTCCCCAGATTTGTCCTCTCTCCACCTGGAGGTCACTTGGCTGACTCAGCTTTTGTCCCTTTCTCCCCCTACTTGTGGTCTTCTTGTGGGGGGTTGCCAGGAGAACATTTCATTTAGACATGGGTGAGGCATGTGGAACCAAGATTGGTGTCACAAAACAGATATAGAGAGCAGGAGAAGCAAGATGAAGACAGAGAGAGGAAGAAAGGACTTAACACAGTGAGAAGGCACCAAGGAGAGAGGAGCGGAGAGAGAGAGAAAGCAGCCACAGATTAAGAGATGGCACCAGAGCCATAGAATGGCAAAGCGTGTGCGTTAGAAGCTGATAGCCCCCGAGGGAAATATGCAGTGTCCGACATGCATCCAAAGACACGAAGAGCAAAGAACTGGACGTGAGGATTAGAAGGCAGGAAGGGAAGGAGATTTAGGAGAGTGACAGGGAGCCAGGGCAGGGACACCAGTTCGGCTCTGCACCGGAGGGGTCTCCGCCCTCTGGGCTGCCTCTCATCCCCTCCCTAGAATCCTGAAATCCTCCCTGGCTCCCAGTCCCTCAGCATCTGTCACGCACTTGTCCCGAGCAGACACAGGCAGGAGCAGGTGAGTCTGGCCACCGAGGGTACTCTGGGGATGGACTCCGAGGAAGAGGACCCAGGACTGTCCGGAAGGGGCTAGACTGGCAGAGCGGAGACAGGGGTCAGGCAGGGGCGGGCCATAAGGTTCAAGGTGCTAGTCTGGAACTCCGGTAACAGGGTCCAGAGGTCCTGGCTGAGTGGCGATCCCATTTAATCCCCGGAACGAATGCTTGGCGGACATCTCAAGCCTCTTCCCCCCACCCCCTTTCTGCCTTTGCCCTGGACCTGCCCCAGGCTGCCACTCTGCCTTCTCTCCGCAGTCCGCGAGCCATGGCCGCGCGCCCGCTGCTGCCGGCGCTGCTGCTGAGCGCGGCGTGGCTGTGGCCGG